GGATTATTCCGGATCTCCTTACTTTCCGCCGCGCCCTCAAGACATGGCTTTTCCAACAAGCGGGCCTGGCCTAGGGAGGATTTTTAAATTGGGTTTTTTAGAAATTTTAATCACACAACACTAAAATTTTGGTTTTAATTTGGTTTTATTCGGTGGGGTGTGTGGGTCTCTCTTTGTTTTAATAATGTTGTGAGCCGCCTTGAGTCCTTCGGGAGAAGGGCGGGATACAAATTGGAATAATAAATAAATAAATAAATAAATGAATGGATGGATGAATGAATATAAATGAATGGATGGATGAATATAAATGAATGGATGGATGGATGGATGAATGAATATAAATAAATGGATGGATGGATGAATGAATATAAATAAATGAATGGATGGATGGATGAATGAATGAATATAAATGAATGGATGAATGAATATAAATGAATGAATGGATAAATGGATGGATGGATGGATGGATGGGTGGATGGACAGACGAATGAATGAATGAATGTATATCAATGGATGGATGGATGAATGAATGAATATAAATGAATGGATGAATGAATGGATGGCTGAATATAAATAAATGAATGGATGGATGAACAAACGAACGAATGAATATAAATGAATGAATGAATGAATATAAATGGATGGATGGATGGATGAATGAATATAAATGAATAGATAGATGGATGAATGAATATAAATGGATGGATGGATGAATATAAATGAATGGATGGATGAATGAATGGATGGATGAATATAAATAAATGGATGGATGGATGAACGAACGAATGAATATAAATGAATGGATAAATGGATGGATGGATGAATGAATATAAATGAATGGATAAATGGATGGATGAATAAATGAATATAAATGAATGGATGGATGGATGGATGAATGAATATAAATGAATGGATAAATGGATGGATGGATGAATGAATATAAATGAATGGATGAATGGATGGATGGATGGATGAATATAAATGAATGGATGGATGGATGAATGAATGAATATAAATGAATGGATGGATGGATGAATATAAATGGATAAATGGATGAATGAATATGGATGGATGGATGGATGAATATAAATGAATGGATGAATGAATGGATGGATGAATATAAATAAATGGATGGATGGATGAACGAACGAATGAATATAAATGAATGAATGAATTAATGAATATAATGAATGGATGAATGGATGGATGAATGAATGAATATAAATGAATGGATGAATGAATGAATGAATATAAATGAATGGATGAATGGATGGATGGATGAATATAAATGAATGAATGGATGGATGAATGAAAATGAATATTAATGAATGAATGAATGAATATCAATGAATGAATGGATGGATGGATGAAGGAATGAATGGATGTGTGTAGAACAGCCTTTCCCATCCTGGGTGCCTTCAAATCCCTCACCAGCATCAGAATTCTGGATGCTGAAGTCCACCTTTCTGGATGGGGCCCCGGTTGAGGAGAACTGGCCGTAGGCGTAGGGATTGGGGTGTTGCCTGCTTCCGTCTGGGACTGAGTTGACCCCGCCCCTTCTCGCACCCCAGGCTCTTCAAGCCCAGAAGCGGACGAAGGTGATGGCGAAATGCATCTCCCTCAGCAACTACAGCATCAGCAGCACCAACGTGCTCATCATTGGGGCAGGTACTGGCTCGTGGAGACAGGAAGCGACCAAGGGGAAAAGGTCTCATCTTGGGGGGGGGGCGGTTCGAGCCCTGCTTGGATGGGGGTCCTCCTGGGGACTCCACTAAGTGGCTCAAGGAGCAGGGATGTCCATCCATTCATCCCTTCAGAGGTCCAAACTGAGTCTGGTTTTGCCTGGATTTTCAGAGAATTGTGGGGAAACCCACAAGGACACCCCATTGTGGAAGTCAGCCCAATGGACGCCTCTGGGCTGGAGCGGCACCGTCCCCACTTCCTGGGAGCCTCAGGAGATACTCTGGGAGGGGGGTAGAGAATTCCCTAATGGGGAAGTCTCAGCTGGGAAAAGAGGGGTGCTTCCACCGACGGTCACTTCCTCTGGCAGGTCCTGCTGGGCTGGTGTGTGCAGAGACGCTGCGTCAAGAGGGCTTCTCGGACAGGATTGTGATGTGCACAATCGATCGACATTTGCCCTACGACAGGCCCAAGCTGAGCAAGGTTGGTGCCCACCTAGGAATTTCTCCAAGGCTTTCTCCAGGGCAATGGGTGGCTGGTCCAATTTTCCATCCTATCCCTAACTCCTGAGAGTTGAGCCTCTTTGAATGAAACAGAATTCCTTTTCGTGCAGTTCATGGATGTCCGTGTAACTTGTTCATCCTGGATTTAAGGGCAGAGTTAATACGGAACCTCTGCTCTTTCGCCTAAAAGAGACTGATCTCCACAATCTCTAACGAATCAGAATAGAGCTGGAAGGGACCTTGGAGGCCTCCTAGTCCAGCCCCCTGCTTCAGTGCTCCAGGATTTTTGAAAGATATGGTGCAATGGTTCTGAGATAACATCTGCCAGCTCCTTCAGAACTCTGGGATGTAATCTGTCCGGTCCCGGTGATTTATATTAGTCAAGGTCGGATAGGTGTTCTCTTACCATTTTTTTTTGCTTATTTTAATTTTTATTTCTAGTCTGTCTTTTACAGTTAGGTTTTGGTAGGTTGGGCTACAGTTTTTGTGTGTGTGAAGACTGATGCAAAGAATGAATTAAGCAGCTCTACTTTCTCTCTATTATTGTTACTTCCTTGCCATCTTCTCTCTTTAGTGGATCGACTGTTTCCTTGACTTTTTTTTCTTGTTACTTACATGTTGAAGGAAATCTCTTTTGGGTTCTGGCTTCAGCCAAGCCGCCCATAGGGTGCTCCCTCCAGGGCTGGACTGACCAAGGTCTGCCCCTCTGCAAACTCTTTTGGCCCAGGGAAGACTGAAGAAGACTCTCGGGTGGTCCCCAAGCAGTCTTCCCAATGGTGTGGGAATGACCTTGGGAGACAGGAGGAAGAACTGCAGACTAGACAGCAGACAGATAAGAGGCAGCTGAACCCCCAAAAGAAACGAGGGCACGGGAAACGTCTCGGAAGAGACCCTGCCTAGCTCCTTGGACTGTAAAGGTGAGGGGGAAGAGGTTGCTTTCAGAATCTGTTAATGGAACCTTATAATAAAGTTAGA